AGGAATACCCCTCAAAGTAGGAAGGGGATTTTCCCGACGAGAAGCCCATCACTCCAGGCCAGCTCACCCGGGAGTGTTTCCTCCCAGCAGGTGTTGCCTCTCTGGGCACCCGGGTATCCCTTGGGATACCCGGATATCCGCCAGGTTTGGGCGGAAAAACAGCCACCCGCAGCCAAAACCGCACCCCGCTGGCGGGTATCCGCTGGCACTGGCGGGTATCCCGCCAGCGGATAGCGGATATCCACGGCGGATTATCCGCGACCATCTCTAGTTTTGTGCCCAGACGCGCTTGCAACACCATATATAGCAGCATCATGGCACCCTGAAGTGCAATCATAGGGTTGTCTACAATCTCAACCTGAAATCCTTTCAACTTCAATATATGGTCTTGCAAGCCCATCTGGGCACAAACCAAAGTCCCACTTGGCTAAGTGCCATCAGGGGTTTGGATTGAGCCCAGCAGGCTTGATCAAGCAAGCTGGGCCGGGGGCAGCACTGGGCACATAGCCAAGTCCTGCTGGGCCGATTGATGGCTCCATTGTAGAAACCAGTCATCACCACTTGACAAGTGGAATGTGTACCAGCACTCAAGAAACATCACAGGTATTCCTTTTGATGTCCAGTACCCAACCAGCCGCCGGGGACTGGGCCCCTCAACCCTGCTCAGTACCCAGACTGACCATTGAGGGAATACTCCCTTCTCAGTGGTCCATAGGGAAACCTCTCCCATTGATGGTTGGCGTGGGTACCAACCATTTCAAAACAAGTCTCTCCTTGATGATTGTTACAATATTGGTCATGGAGGAGAGAACCTAAACGTGTAGTAGACTGGCCATCAAGAAGGTACTCCTTCTGGATGGCCGTCATTTTTTTGTTGGGTGTGGCACCCTTGCTTGATTTTGGCCAAGTGAGGCTTTGTCCCAAACCCCATCAGCTTTAGCATGTGCCAAGCGGGGGCTGGGAGGGTGCCACGCACCCTCTAGGATTGGCCAAGTGGGCTTTGGGATTGGCCCAGCGCACTTGGCCTGTTTTTGGCCAAACTTTGGTGTGCAGTGTGCCCAGATGGGCTTGCAACACCATATGTACTCCACATCATTTCTCCTAAACCATCTGTCAAATTCTTGTGATTCTTCCTTCTCCAGGGAGATGCAATCAATCATCAACTCACAGTGGTCTCACACTGGATTGATTGGTTTGATACTTCTCACCTTCAATGCTTGTGTAGCTTCTTGTGGTTCAAGTCTTGTCAGGAAAAAAGGGCCCACCATTACCTCCTTGTCTTTGCAGTTGTTGCATGGCGGCAATCTTTCTTGAACAGTTGTGATTACACCATAAGGTTTTTTACATCCCGGGTTATGCCAAGTGCGGTCAAGCACTGGGCAACAACATCTGTCACATGTTTGGGCTAACTCATAGTGTTTCTCATCACACCTTTTTTCTCCTTTTTTTCTTTTTTTTTTTCTTTTTTTTTTCTTCTTTTTTTCTTATTTTTTTCTTATTTTTTTCTTATTTTTTTCTTATTTTTTTTCTTATTTTTTTCTTATTTTTTTCTTCTTTTTTTCTTATTTTTTTCTTCTTTTTTTCTAATTTTTTTCTTCTTTTTTTCTTATTTTTTGGGCCTTAATAAAAAAACGCGGTTTTTCCGCGTTTTGACGCGGTTTTAACGCGCCGCAGCACACGCGGTTTCCGCGTTTAGACGCGGTTTTATTAATTAATTTTTTACCGCTTATTTTTCGAGTTTTTTTGAATTTTTAAAATTGTTTCCTATGTTTTAAAGCGTGTAGAATTTAATGGTAAAAACCATTTTTCATAAAAATGAGTTTTGATTATTAATTTTTTTTTCCACTTATTTTTCAATTAAATGTTTACATACATGTTTCTACCTCATTTTTTATGCTTTTTTGAAATTTTAAATTTATTTCCTAGGCTTCAATGTGTGTAGAATTTAATGGTGTAATCCAAATTTTTCAAAACTCAATGGTTCATTTTTAATACTGAAATTAGACACATTTTTTCACTTAAATTTCTACAGGTTAATTTTCATTCTTTTTTGACATTTTAAATTTTTTTCCTACACTTTAAGACATGGTTAAAATGATGGTAAAGCTCATTTTGGATCAAAATGAAAACTATATCTTGAATACTGCATTTGACATGTTTTTTTTATTTAATTCTCCACTTTTTCACTTGATTGTTTGCATTAATTTTTTTACCTTACTTTTTATGCTTTTTTGAAATTTTAAATTTGTTTCCTACATTTAAAAGTGTTTAGAATTTAATGGTAACATTCCATTCCCGTAAAACTCAACAGTTCATACTGAATACTGTAATCAGCCTCAAAATTCAATTAATTCTTAAGAGCTTAATTTTCATTATTTTTTGACATTTTTAATTTGTTTCCTACACTTTCAGACATGTATAGAATTATGGTAACAATGAATTTGCATCAAAGTGAAAACTATATCTTAAATACTGCATTTGATG